CCCATATGATGGTTTCATGGGGTCCACTCCTAGAAAAGGTGATTGTTGGGTTTGGAAAAGAAAATGAATTTGTAATGTGAGATATGTTCTGAAAATGAAGTAAAATAAGACCTAGAGCAGAATAACCTAAAATTCAAAGCAAAATTAAACCAAAATTTGCATTTTTTTTTCATTTGCACTCCCATAAATTTGTACTAGAGCAAATAAAATTGCACTGCAATCAAACACAACCTAAGGAACAAAATAACAAGAAACATACAAGATCAGGTTCGGTCAGGGAAAGTCCATGCTCACACTGTGCCAACAACCTCTTGCAACCTTGCATTAGGAATATCTACCCATGAAATAAAACATGTAAGTATGGAGATATCCTCAATGCAAGACTGTAAAGGCTGGTCGAACTCAAAACAGACAGACAGTAGATAAGAAAATAGAAATGTCAACAACATTAGACACTAGGGATGGCAACAAGGCAGGTTCTAAAAGGGTTTTGTAAATTCTAGTCCCTAAACCTTTCAACCCGTACCTGCCCCAAAACCCGTAACGTGTTGGATTTTGAGAATCCAAACCCTATCTGCACATGAAAACACAAAACCCTATCCTCCCCGTATTCAAGGGTAGGGGCGGGTTGGATTTAGAACCCATATCTAATTTCCTATTATTTGTTGTCATATATAAAAATAAATAAGTAAAAACAAATAAACAACAAAATTTTCAATTATTTGGTTAAGACATGTAAAAAACACAAACTATCAATTATCTTTTACATGAAATCCAAAATATTATTAAATTCAACACTTGGAACATAGAGTTTATATGCTTTCCAACAATATGCAAGTGGGGGAGGGTTGGGTTTAGCCTAACCCTACCCATACCCATAGAAGTTGTAAAATCCTACAACCCATCCCCGCCCCAAAACTTGTCCTTCAAGCAAAAAGACCCACCCCGTCAGGTAGGGTAAAAATTGTCATCCATCCATTATTTTCAATTCTAATAACAAGGAATCCCCCCCCCCCTCAAAAAAAAAAAATGCTCTTAGTAACATCAGCCCTCGAACTCTCCATCGAGCATTATTCGGTTGAAATTAAAAAAAAAAATATTTTCGGTTAAATTTTGATTTCGGTTTTGGGTTTTCAGCTATTTGATTCGATTTTTAGTTTTCAGCTATTTCAGTTTCAGTTTCAGTTATATATTATTCATTTCTAACCAAAAATCGGACAAAAAAAAATCAACTTCAGCTATTTGGTTTGGGTTATTTTTTTTCATTTATACTTCAATTTTAAAAATCTCGATTTATTCAAAACGATTTTAACCAAATAAACTAAAAGCTCACCCCTTTTAGTTTGGATTAAATTTTCAATTTATTCGGTTCAATTTTTAACTTCCCCCTAGTCTTCATCATACATATACACACACAAGAATAATCCCAAGTTGGAAAGTTCCGCAAGGGATTAAACAGTCATTTCCCCAAATAATGTGAAAAGAAACCCCCCATTTGATAAGATGGCTTCCTCAAAAATCAGTAGAGGAATCAGCTTGTCACCATTTTTGTGACTTGGGATGACGTTCAAAGTTCTAGGAAATAGCTCTTCCTTTGCAAATGCGAGGGATTTTCGAATCGATTACTTACAATGGCAGTGATACGTCCATGACAATAATGCTTTAATAGTTGAATGTTTGATCTTTAAAGAAATCGCCTCGTAACTCGTAAATATAATCTCTGCGGTTCTACCTACCTTTGCTGCTTTTTAGCTTTCATCCAGACCTCTGTTTCCAAAACCCATGTATCAAAATCTGGCATCTTTATTTTGAACCGTCCCCCTTGCCATCAAAGAGCTTGCTAGTCAGAGACTCACATAGACCTCTTTATCTTTTTGGCAGTTTAGTTTTTTTTTTGTGTTAGTTTAATATAATTCCCCTTTTACCCAGAAAAATGAATAATAAATAAATAAATGTTACCTTATATACATAGCTATAAAGCTTTTCTGGATGACCTCCCTGCCTCCCTCTTAAATCTCTAAATGAGAGGAATCTCACTTAAGTACTCAATTTACTGCCAAACCAATCACTAGTTCCTATTCAAAATTGGACGTCCAATAAATTCTGTTCAAAACTGGGCATTTTAGACAATAATCCAAATCCAATTGTCAGGTTATTGTTAGTTTAAGATTACGATCCTGGCATAAAAAAAATACAGAATCGTGATCAAAATTAAAAAAAAAAGGAATAACTACGTATTAGAGTAGTTGGTTCAAATCCAATAAAATTTCCGTTCCAATATGTTGTGGTAAATAAGAAAATGCCTATTACCAACTGAGGCTGGTAGGATCTCTGACTCGTAGCAGAGAACTGGGGTCAAACAAAAATAAAAAGAAAAAGAAACACTCTTTCACTGCATTCAAAAGTAGAAACATTAGAATACAATCAATCAAGTGCTATCACAGGTGAGGATTGAAAGCTACGTCATGAACTAGTATGAGAGATGCAGTGGTAGTGTTTTTTCATAAATTGGGAAAGAGGGTATGTTTCGGATTGACTCTTCTTTCCTTCGCATCACGTTCAAAAGCTTTCCTGTGACTTCGGACACTTCTTATTGATGATGAAATGGGCCATGAATAAATCGGTGAATTGCGCCCAACTTTTGATGGAGCCAGGCACGGGGTTCCTATATCAGGTCCGAACTACACCTTTGAAGGTGGTGGAGAAAGACACGCACATACACATTTCGTTGGTCCCGACGAGATGCATCTGAGACTAGAATGTGTCTACATGAAACTAGAATGTGTCTACATAATCATAAAAACCTCTCTTTAGTTTGACTTTAGCAAAACCCTCCTCTAGACTTTTAAAGAATTTGACAAAAACCTGCCTTCTGTTACTGACTAAGTAGAAAAACGTTAAACCGATGCATCAAATTTTTCCAAATTCCCATTTTACCCTTTTATAAGTTAGTTTACATATTCTTTTACTGAAATACCCCCATTTGAAAATTGATCAAGAAACTCCCTTCGACCTCATTATACTTTTCTAATCCCTGAACTCCACCATTTGAAGATGAGGAACACAGCTCTTTCGATATTTTATCCAAATCCTATCGGTTCAAAAAACGAGTAATCCTGAAAAGTCTGTCATTTTCTTATTCTTTCTTTGCTGTTTTCTTCATCTTCTTTCAATATTCCTTGAAACTCCCTCGACTCAAGAAGTAACATTTGCTCTTTCAATGTTCCTCCTCTTTCACCGTTGAAGCTTACTCCAGTCAAGTAAAGAAGCAACATTTGATGCTTGGGACAATGGGAAATGTAGTAACTCGTGTATTAAGGATGATACAAGTGGCAAATCTGACTCAGTCTCAACCAAACCAGTCAAGGAAGCTATGTTGAACCCTCGCCATCAACAGTCAAGGAGCTTGTGCCTAATGGGAATGAGAGTTCATCAACTACAGTTACGCTTGGTCCATCACCAGTCAAGGAAGCTAATGGGAACGTTTCTTAGTCCATCACCAGCTGCAAGGGCATACCGGGGAGGAAGAGAATTTTCTTCAAACTTCCCCTCAAATCCTTGGACGACTTCTGAAATTTCTACCTTTTTGGCGGGGTATGTTTCTCTGTATCTCTCTTACTGTGAGCTCCCTTGTAGGCCATGATTACAGAGACCGATCTCTCCAATGGTTTTGTTCACGGAACAGAGAACTCTTTGACCAGACTGAAACATCACGTCTTCATGCAAAACCTCGAGACCCCAGATGGGAAAATCGGTTTTTCTGAAAAGGGTCTCAATTTTCTACGAGGTTCGGAGATTGGTCATAATGGGTTTCCGTTAAAACCATCGATAAATGGCAATTCTGGTGCTCAGGAGTTGACTCTGAGCTACCTGTGCGATAATTCTAAAATGGATTTTCAAGACAGAGATTTCTAGGAAGAATTTGTTGAGTTCTTTGGAGAAAGGGAGATATAAGGGAAAGGAAGTGGTTTCGGAGAACCAAAATGAAGAGGATAGATGGGTAGAGAGGGATTTTCTGCAGTTGAACAGTGCTAGGGGAGCAGGGTCGAGGCGAGAGTTCGAGGAAGAGGAAATCGACAGAGACAAGAGGGAAAAGAAACCAAAGATTGAGACCCTTAATCTCTCTCTAGCTTTGCCGGATGTCTCACTATSCCTCAACACTTCGAACCCAGCTCCGAAAGCTGACCCTCCTGTTCATCTAAAGTCAGTGAGGAGCACTCATTCATTGGCGCCGTCATGCTCCGATGACTATACAGTGGCATCACGTTCGTACTCTTATTCCCTCCCCTTCTCTTACAACCCCAGCTGCTCACTCACTTGAAACTCGACCAAGAATTATGAGTACTTGATGGGAAGCCACTGAAGAGAGACTGATCAGTTTTGGAATTGTGGAGAGGGGACTAATGGCTCAGTTCACAGTCAGTTCAGGCCAGTCAGCGACAGAGTTGTTCTATCGAACCATGGTGGTGGTTTCAGCCACCCCTTGATGCAGGGTGGCCGCCCGATCAATAAGGACTCTTGCAACAGTCTTTACAGAAGAACTACATTCTCCGATAACCATTCGTTCTTTCCGTCTGAACTACCTGCGAGGCCAAGAAAGGATACTTTATCAGCCAACTCAAGAAGAAGAGCTTCTGAGCAACAAATAGGTTTGGAGAACTCAAACGGAGGGAGAGCACGTAAATTGTCCAAGCACTAAGAGCTTCACGAGCTGCGTTCTCATCTTCAAACGGTGGAGTTCAAGGATTAGAAAAGTATAATGAGGCCGAAGGGAGTTTTTTTGGTCAATTTTCAAATGGGGGTATTAACTTACAAAAGAGTAAAATGGGAATTTGGAAAAAAATTGATGCACCGGTTTAAAGTTTTCCGTCTGAATCAGTGACGGAAGAAGGTTTTTGTCAAATTCTTTGAAAATCTAGGGGAGGTTTTTGTATTCGTATACGTGTGCATTAATTACACGTGAGATAAAAGGGCAAAATTGTCTTTATGATCGAAAATAGATTTCTCCTTCAACACTGCCCTAATCTTCCTTCTTTTCTCAGGATCTCGGCCTCCACCATCTATATAGCTGACACAGTTTTCGGGTTTCTCCACCTTCTTAACCGGTTTCACGACCGACCGCTGCTTCCATCTCCTCCAACACAGGTACGTCTTTTGTTCTTTCTGTTTTTCTTTTTGGTTCCTGTTCAAACTGGTTAAGCTCAGATGAGGAAATGTCTACAAACTTCTTCTTCTCTGTCTCTCTCTATCCCCCCCTCTCTCTTGCAGAAGTAGCAAAACATGCCCGAAATCCAGAGGATAATGACTCAAAACTTTTTAGTCCGTAAGGCTTTACCCATTGTCCATTTAGATAAGGCTCTCCTCGACCAAATCTGCATTAACCTCCCTCTGTTTCTGTTACAGAAAGAAGAAACCATGGTGATACTGTCTAAAATCATGTCTGTACAAGTTTCCTCTGGTAAAGACCTGCAAGAACTCCTGTAAGGCTGTAATAGAACTATCAAAGCCAGACTTAAAGACTCTCCTTATTAAGGCCTGTCAAGATTTTGGGTTCTTCAAGACGATTAACAATGGTGTTCCAATGGGCTTCGTCTCCAGAATTATAAGTATTATGATGCTAAGCTTCTCTATGCAAAGCTTTCAATACTAAATACCTATCTTGGACGTAGCCAGACATCTTTGTTTTTTCATCTTAGCGAGCTAGAGTTCCAAACATGTGTTGGGTTCTGTTTCTATGTGACATGTAAAATTGATTCAGAGACCAGGGGGAGGAGTTCAACTCTGAATGGATTATTATCTTTTATCTTATATTTAGAGATAAGGAAAGGGAATTAGGAGAATCACAAGCTGAGACCAAGGAACTAAAGTACTCTGAACATCTCAAAGAAAAGGCTGTCCAATTGGTAATACATGAAGTGTCAACTATCAACATGTCAGTTGTGTATAAATATTTGGAAATGTCAAAAGGTTGTTTTTTTATGAGTTGTTTTATGTTAATGGTGAACTGCCATTAATTCATTTGACTTTTAAGCTCAACTCTCAGTACTTGGTTTTTGCGGATTTCCATCTTATTGCAATCCTAGTAATAGAAGTGTTTGTTTTCTTGAAAATCACTGCTTGCATAGAGATCTATGTACTGGCATTGCATTGGTATTTTTGCAATAAACATGTACCAACAAACATGATTTTTACCCATTTATGCTAAAACTTTGAAGTATCCAGTTACATTAAATGTGATGGCAAAGAAACATATAAATACCATGCTTTAAGTGACAGCAAATTGGAGAGTGAATTTTGTGATTGACGTTTGAATGGGTGGTAATCACAAACCATTTTGCCCAATTAAGGGAAATTCTGAACATTTTCCTTTCCCACTTGTTCCATGGAACAATGGTTGAACTTTATTTACATCTTTTTTCATGTAATCTTGTAGACCTCAAATATAGATTTTCTGATCATGATCACTCTCATTACAAGAACCCATGGAGAAACCAGTGTCTTCAAGACTTCAACCCATCCTTTACCCAAATGGTTGAATTGGTGAACCAATGACCTGATAGCTGATTGTATTTTGAGCTTTTGATAGTTTTGAATGTTTCACTGGATAATCAGCAAACCTGCCACCAGCCATCTTTTAGGGTTGCCATCCAGTTTATTTATATTTTTGCTTTTCTAAATATTGGGAGACACCAAAAGGAACATTATCATTTTTTAAGTTGGACAAGCATAGTGAGAGAACAATAACAATAAAGAAATTTGTATAAACGAAAAAAAAAGAAAAAACAAAAAATCCAAAAGAGTTTGAGGAAGTTGTATTGTTGAAATGTTGAGACTTGAGAGATCTCATTTCAGCAAGAGTACTAAGCATTGGTCTTTACTTTTTCGTTTTTCTATTCTATTTTTTTTTTTTTATTTCAAATTATATACTTGAAGGGAGCCAAGGAAGCAAATTCACTTTTACCAGGGTAGTTGTGTCATCCACTCTCAAGCAATAGGTTTGAATTTTTGGAGTCTATAACAAGGTAATAATTTCATTTGTGAAGTCACCTAACTGCTTCCTAGGGATGTGACATCTTCCCTAGTCTCAGCACCTTAGTGCTTGGACAGGCCTGGTTTGATTGGGCTCAACTAATTGGACTAGTAGATTTGGTCTTTAGGTTTGATATATTACTATTTGCCATAGCTCTTGATTTTTTTTTTCTGAAGAGGTTGTATACCATACAATACTTAATTTACACTAATTTTCTTCTTAACATTCCATCTAATCCCTTCCCTAGAATACTCAAACAGAGAAAGTGAAGGTAAACAGAGATGAGGCCTCTAGACGAGAAGGAGACAACAGCGGTTTTTGAGAAGCTCTTCAAGTTCACAGGAAATAATCTCAAGAACATAGTGGAGAGTTCATCACATGAAGGTGTAGATGAAAATGCAGGCTGTTACTGCTTTCGCCTCCAAAAGAACAAAGTGTATTATGTAAGCGAAGCCTTAGTCAAGCGAGCCACCAACATCGAACGAGACAAGCTTGTCTCCCTCGGCACCTGCATTGGCAAGTTCACCAAAGGTGGTAGCTTTCACCTAACAATCCAATGCCTCAATCTCTTAGCTGTTAATGCAAAGCACAAGGTTTGGTTAAAACCCACTTCCGAAATGTCTTTCTTGTACGGTAATCATGTTTTGAAGGGTGGATTGGGGAGGATCACAGAGAATACAACAGCAGGTGATGGGGTTGTTGTGTTCTCCATGTCGGATGTGCCGTTAGGGTTTGGGATTGCAGCCAAGTCAACACAGGATTGCAGGAAGTTGGACCCAAATGGGATTGTTGTGTTACATCAGGCAGATATAGGAGAATACTTGAGGATGGAGGATGATCTCTGAAGTTGGACCCCTTGTCAGTTGGTTTCTGTGGGGGGATTTTTTGATGTCTTTGTAACATTTTTTGATAGATAATTGATTATTGATGTCTTTGTAACTCGGTAGATGTTAATCAAAATTTTTTATGGGTTTCTGCAAGTGAAGTCTTTTTCAACCTTTCACTGGTATGAATTTAATCGAATTTCACTACTATGTTTCTTTTTTTTTTTGCATTTCCCGTCTCATGTGGTAATGTTTATTATGCTAATTCTAGTAATGGACTACGGATTTCGGGTGAAAATGGAGCTTCTGAAATTTTCATCCGCTCCTTTCATCTCTTTTTTATTTACTAGTATTTGTGGGGTGGTGGCGGATGGTGATTCTTAGACTTCAGAGTCCATTTCTCAATGGATTTCAAAGGTATGGAGCTCTCTGTTCGTCATACTCAGGAGGTATGACTAGATTTGGATTTGGAGCTTTCTCCCATTATCACTCTCCTAGAAGCCCTTGACTACTCGCCATGGAAGGGAATGCTCTGTAGGAGAAGTGGATTAAGCTTGCAGGCTTTTGTCTCCACTTTTCACTCATTAAGTGAATAAATGGTGCTAGTTTCTAAATATGTGATTGGTAGGCACTTTAACGTCAGAAAATTATTATTTGGATTGCTTGGAGATATAAATCATGTATCTTGTAAGACAGCTTTGTTGGATGTTGGTGATGTGATCACTGCATACTGAAGTCAAGGTAAATGATGCTAACCAAGGGGTTGAAACCAATAGTTTGTATATTATGTTTAGCTTCATTAACCAAAAACTTCACAAACTGCAGTTTATTCATTGAGACCGCATGTAAATTAAAATATTTGATTATGGTAGGTGGTAATACCATTGCTTTTTTTGCTTGAGCCCAGGAGAAGAGCGCCTCCGTGGGAGATCCTCCTCCTCTAGTTAGCCTGCCATATGAAACAATTGAATTTTAGGCACACGGGGACGATTACCACTCTCCAATAAAAGATTCAAAACCAAACAAAGAAACAAATCGGTCCCAGTACTGAACTTTAACTTGGTAGGCTGGATGAATTAGACGGATGCATTGCTAGGACTAGGAGAACCTTGTAACGGTATCGGTTCTGACACCAATAAATTTTACCTAGGAACATTCCTCGACTGACCTGCAATCCCGTTAGATCTATCTAGCGACGATGCATCAGAAAATTCATCTTGATAAGCCTTTATAATCCTCATCTGCATTTGTCGAAGACTAACGGCATAGTCATAAGCGTCATTCATGACCTTTCTAGCATCAACCAGGGCTTCCTCCAATTCTTGATTGCGCAAGTAATATGAACATATCTGGTTTAGGAGTTGGTCGTGCCTTTCTTGGAACTTAAGCAACCTTTCCTCGGCATGTTCCAATGCATCGTTGATGATTCTCAGCTTTTCCAGTAGTGCCTGTTGCCGCTGCCATTTCTTCAAGTTAGAGAAACAGAGGAAGGCTGACGCTGAGAAGCCAACAATGACACATAAAATGCGAGAATAATCCATGGAGTTGCTGCAAGATGAATTGCAGGAAATAAGAGAAGAAGCTCATATTCTTTGCTTTGATTTTGGGGAAAAGGTGGTATGTGGTGCTGTACTGCTGTTGCTTTATGTGAATGCAAATTCAGGTGCTTGCCTGATGCTATTGTTCATATTCAAAGCTTCGTATTCAAAAGTTTGGGCAAAACCTCGTCCGAATCCTTGGTGTTCAATCAGTGAGGGAGTAGTTTCTCCAGAACAGAATTGGGACATAAAGGGGAGGATTATTAGAACATGAGGGTTGGTATCTTGTGGAATGGTTCTTCAGTTCTTGATATAAGCTAAGGTTAAGCATCTTGTGGTGACATAGGCTCTAAAGGTTCTTATTTGATGATATGAACACGGGGTTTTATCGAGCCGACCCATATGTTTGCACAAATAGGAAGGTTTAACCATGGACCCATTGTTCAGCCAGAGACGCAAAAACACAAGATTGTCTGTGTGACTATTTCCTATCTTTGTGATCCGTCTGTCTCTGTCTGCCTGCCTACTGCAAGAGTTAGCCAAGGGCAGCAATTAGGTTTTGTTGCATTTTGTTTTTGTTTGTATGCTGATGACATAAATCTTCTTTGTTTGCCCATCTATAGAGCAAAAAACAGGTTATAAAGAATGATTTCAAATAAATTGTATACTTGTTTGAGCCTTGGTTGTACAGACACATATCAGATCAATGGAAACTTTTGGCTTGAGACTGAGGGGGAAAAACAATAACCCACAAGTAGCCTTCATCCCAGCCTGCACCCCTGGTTCATTCTTCTAAAATCTAGTAGGCCCTAATTGATCCCCGAAGCCATCAGCCATCCAACCACCGCGTTGCCCAAATCATAGTAGGCCTATCCGCAGTTCCAGAGTGGGCCAATGCATCGATCAGGATCATCCTTTCTGAGACCACCCTGGTCTGTTCAATTACTCCGTCTGAGGCAGTAAACAAAAGTTGCCAACTGCATCAATCTAAGACCATTTGATTGATCAAATTGTTGATGGCATGACACAAGACTGCAGACCCACGCTATAAAAATAGAAATACTAGCCAGCTGATCGAAAGAAACCCGGCAAGCTCAAACAGGTGTAATTTCTTCCAAGAAATGAGACTCATGGTGCTAATAATCCATAAACATGTCTCTTGGGTTCTTGGAGTTGTATTGAACTAGATCCTAAATCCTTCCTAAGTCCCCTGTCTCTCATTAACCGCCTCACCTTCTCCACATCGTTCCACCTGCCCATCTCTGCACACAAGTTGGATAACAGAATATAGTAAGCGCCATTGTTAGGTTCCAACTCCACGAGCTTCCTTGCTGCAAATTCGCTGAGTTCTAAATCTCCATGAGCTCTGCACCCGGCTAACAGTGCTCCCCACATAACTTTTGTAGGATGAAAAGGCATTCTTTCTATGAATTCGAATGCTTCTTCAAGATAACCTGCACGCCCAAACAGATCAATCATACACCCATAGTGTTTAACACCTGGTGAAAATCCATATTTCCCATCAATCATGGAATGGAAGATCTCTCGGCCCGTTTGAACTAACCCAGAATGGCTGCAAGCACATAGGACTCCAATTAAACTCACTTCGTCCGCCTTGATCCCTTCTTCTTCCATCCGAGAAAACCACCGTACTGCCTCCTGTCCGCTCTTCGCCAGAGCGAGTCCTTTGATAAGTGAGTTCCACGTATAGACATTCTTCTCACCCATACTATGGAAAACACTCAACCCCGCGTCGATTCTACCGCATTTCCCGTACATATCAACCAAAGAAGTGCCGAGAATCACATCCAATTTCCATCCCTGCCTTGTTATGAAATCATGTATCCAAGCACCCATTTCAAGCGCACCAGAGCTGGCACATGCGGACAACGCATTCACCATCGTCACGGGATTTGGCAATACACCTGAGAATTGCATCTGCTCGAAGGCAATAAGTGCCTCGTCAAGCTTCCTAGCACTTCGATTGCCGGCAATTAAGACAGTCCAAGAAACAGCATCTTTCCGAGGCATTTCATCAAACACCCGTTGACATGTCTCCATATCACCGCAGGCCGCGTAGAGGTTCAACAGTGAATTCTGAATGTAGATATCATTGAAATGGCCTAATTTAATGATCTGGGTATGGACGGCCTGGCCCTGTTTGAGGTGCTTGAGGTCAGAGAGGGATTTCAGAATGAAGGGGAAGGTGAAGTTATTGGGAGAAACAGAGTCTCTCAGCATACGGGCATAAACAGAAATGGAGGCTTGGGGTGAATGGGTGTGAGAGAAGGCTCTGATGAGGGAGTTGCAGATGAAGACATGGGGTCTAGGAATCTGGGTGGCCAGGAGGAGCGCGGAGTCTAAGAGACGAAGAGATTGACAAGCTTTGATGAAGTGGAAGACGACGGTGGTGTCGAAATGAAGTTTGTGAAGTATGATTTGGGCTTGGATTTGGTGGAGTTGTGTGGGAGAAGTGCAAGTGTTCAAGAGATGGAGAATCCTGTCTCCTATGCTGTAGAGTTGCGAAGACGAACTCATCTCATGAGCTCTTAGGTTAATTCAGCTGCACTCTGGGAATCCAAATGTCTCTATTTGTGGGGGTGGACTGATCAAATAAAACAACTTTCTATAATGGTCTAGATTTAATTTCCTACCACTTTTTTTTGATAAATTACAAAGATCACCTTGTATTATGGGGTCAGTGACAAAGACCTTATATTTTAATTTGCGACAAAGTTCCCCCTGAACTTTAACCATTAGACAATGACCCCTTTCCATTAATGTTTTCTAAAATGACTATCCTTTTTCCATGGATTTGATAATTATTGATGGATATTGTTCATCATCTTCGACCTTCGACGAGAACACAGCGGCGTAGTGCGAAAACACTACTCCTTTCTCTTTGTTTTCTCCTATTCTCTCATACTCCCTCTCTCTTCCTTATTCCCGTCATTCTCCTTCCTCTCTCGGCGACCTAAACTCGAACCCGAGCCTCTGTTCATCGTCTTCTCGACGAGAACGGAGTAGTGGCGGCGGCAGTGTGGAAACCTCACTCCTTTCTCTACTTCTTCATCTTTTTCTTCCTTCCTCCACTTTCATCTTCCTTCGCCCTGTTCCCAGTCTTCACTGCTTAGGAACAGATCACAGTAGCAACCATTGTTGGGGGCCGTTCTCTTCTCGATTACAGGTAGAAACCATACCCGGACTACCGTTTTTGCTCGCCAAGCTTCAATTACCATTGTCGATTAATGTTGAACTAAACTCAGACGGAAATGGTTATAGTTCCTTGCTTTCTAACTCTTTAAACACTGTTCTAGGGTGATTTCCATGATGCATTAAATTTTGCAGCGGTAATGGAGACCCTAGTTATTTTTATTTGTGGCAACAATGGTTGGGCCTTTAGAACATCCACATCAGAACAGTTTCAAAGTACTTCCTCACCTGTCATGCTTTCTTAGGTTTCTATATTTCCATTAGTAGAGCTATAACCACTTTATTGATTGAGGCTAATAGTTTTCAGGTTTACATATTGGCAGGTGACGGTGTTGTAGTTAGAAGTCAGGCTTACAGATTACGTAGTGTAGTATTCAGGTAGATGGTAATGATGCCATTGCTGTTTATAGTGCAGTTCAGAAAGCCCGTGAAAATACAAACCCATCTTAATAGAGGTTTATGGTGCGCAATCCGGCTGGTCCTAGCTGTCAACGACCTTGCCTCTGAACGGAACTACAGGGAACCTGAAACGGAGAAGATGAGGAAGCTCCGGGGGGAACCCGGTATGAACGCTCCAAAACTCAAGTTAGAATTCTTCAAAGGCAAGACAAAACCAGATGGCGCAAAGTTTGCATACCTTGTTCTTGGGGGGTAGGGGGCCTTTTATAA